TAACTACATGTATACGGACGCTTTAAAAAAATAACTAATTTGTTTTACGGATTTGTTTGTTAACACTGTAAATCAGGCTTCTGTTCCGTTCGACTTCGCTGTTTCCAATAGTCTTTCATTGGCCTGTAATCAAACATTATTTTCCTGAAAAATAATGTTAGCAACAGTACGTTATCATGCTCAATTTTATCAACAATAAATTAACCCTGTATAAAAGGGCCAGGTTATTTTACTACCTCACAGCCGGGGGGGACTCCCCCCCCCCCCCAAGATCTCGGCCATCGAGAGACGAAACTTATGAAACTCGGTACATGCTTAGAAAAACTCAACATGAACATTCCCAAGAAATTTAATGACTGCTAACATTAAGTGAAAAGGTTTTGGAATTATGGCTAACTAATTATTCATATGTGCGAATGGTCATTCTGCATTGTGCATACTACGTATAATTCCCCCCGGCCCTTTTAGAGTTAAAATGTAGACGAAAACAACATTAACCAAGACACCACATTACCCAGGGGCAATGTTCATAATGTGCATCATAGCGCTTCGCTCGTAACGTACCCCCGCCCTAATCCTGCAAACAGGGCCTAGGGCGCTGGGCCGGGAAGGTCCGATGAGCATCACAGAATCTTGAGTAGGAAGTGGGGATGTCTTTCAGGGTTCTCCTCAATGACCTTTATACAGAGACATAATTATAGCTGCAGCTTTTGAAAGGGTGCAGGCCGGTAAATCGGTCCAAAATTTGCTACGCCGGCCAAATCACGATTTGCATGCCCTGAAATTCTTCGGTATTCAGCAAAATTTCAATTTGGAGCATATTTTACTAAAATTGGGCAAAATCAGATGCTTTTACTAGTAAAAAATCCAGATGTAAAGTTTCCGCAAAAACAGCTGTTGAAAAAGAGCCCAATGTTGAACTTTACTGAGTCTGAGGTCTATCGAGGGGACGATCCTTATTTCAACTCCCGGAAATTCGCTGACAGTCTCTATTTTTCTTTTTAAGAAAGTTGAAATAGCTGAAGAGGGAGGTGAGAATGTGCCCAGAGAAAGAGTAGAAATCTACGAGTCTGCCTTTTGAAAATACACAATTGCGGCGTTCATTGTTGCGTAATGATCCGCCTAGCACACGACTGTTTTGCACATTAGGCTGTGTTATGCAGCTTCCTAACAAACCAAACACACTGGGCTCATTATATCGACTTGTTGTTACCCATTAAGGTAAAGTAAATGGACCCAGTAATCTTCCTGGCGCGTTTGCTCACCAATAAAGACAACTTTTCTCAGTTTAAGGAAAATTCTAAGGTAACGAAATGGCCGAGTGGTTACGATTCGTCGTCCACGGTTAGCGGGGTCCCGGGTTCAAATCCCGCTGGTGTCTTTTTGGTTTTTAACGTATGAGTTCAATCATTTACTATAAGAGATTTAATTTCCCGTCGTAAAGTACCAACAGTACCTTAGCTTAATCGGTAAGCACTGCTGCTGGTACTGTCCGCGAGTTCCAGGTTGGCGCCTTCGTACAGGTTCAGGGCATGTGGTCCACTCGGAGGATCAGGGCTTAGGGGCCGCCCTGTTCCTCCCTTAGCTCTTTGCTTTTACATGGTGCCTGGCCCTCCGGGGTTATATGGATGGATAGGGAAGGAAGTGTGTATTGGTCGGGGACGCCGAGACCCCGGAAGAGAACTAAGGGATCGGCTGGGGCATTGTTATGGCTCAGACCGATCCCTGAAAGCTTGACTAGCACATAACTTTTTGATTTTGTTTACCCTCTATCTTTTATACTTTGGTTTAGTTTGATATCTACAGCTGCTCGGCAGGTCTACGGGTAGTATCAAAATTAAAACAAAGGTGTATGTCATAAATCAATGAATATTTCATAATTGACTATAATCAAAACGGAGTTTCGTTTGATCAATTTGACTATAATTATAATGACGCGATTGCCAATTGACATAAGAAACGCCATAAATTATACCGGGAAAGAATAAAGATGTACATTGTAATATAAATACTATTGATAAATCTTTCAAATAACGTGTCTTTAATTGTGAGCATTCCAAACAATACAGTAATTCGCAATAGTAATAGAATGGTATATGATAGCACGATCAATGCGTCTCTATTCAATTTAAAAAATAATTTAGGCCTCTATGTGTGAAATATTCTTTGATTGACTATGAGCATTCCATACGAATGAGTTAATTCGCAAAATATAGCAACAACAAAAGAGAAAGGAAAAAGAGAACATTCCTTTACCCTAAAAACTGGGAAAATAATTTGTTTTAAAAACGTCAAATGGGACACTTCAAGTATTGATTGAACAGTTTGCAAGGAGTTAGCCTTACATTTTAGCAAAATTGGGAAAAATCAAATGTTTCTGGAAAATTGCAGCTTGTAAGGGGTTAACCTTGCATTTTTAGTAAAATTTAGATGTTTATGAAACATTTCAAATAGTAAGGGGTGAACCTTGCATTTTTTTAGCGAAATTGGGCAAAATCAGATCTTTCTGGAAATTTCAGATTGTAAGGGGTTAACCTTGCTTTTGTAGTAAATTTGGCAAAATAAGATGTGTATGAAAAATTTCAAATTGTAAGGGGTTAACCTTTCTTTTTTAGTAAAATTATGAAAATTTAAATGTTTATGAAAAAATTCAAATTGTCAGTGGTTAACCTTGCATTTTTTAGCAAAATAGGGCAAAATCAGGTGTTTATGGAAAATTTCAGATTGTAAGGCGTTAACTTTGCATTTTGAGCAAAATTGGGCAAAATCAGATTTGTATGAAAAATCAAAAATTGTAAGGGGTTAACCTTGCCAAATTAGGGCAAAATCAGATGTTTCTGGAAAATTTTAGATGTAAGGGATTATCCTTGCTTTTTTAGTGAGATTTGGCAAAGTTAGATGTTTAATGAAAATTTCAAATTATAAGGGGTTAACCTTGCATTTTTTAAGCAAAATTGGGAAAAAATCTGATGTTTCTGGAAAATTGCAGACTGTAAGGGGTTAACTTTCTTTTTGAATAAGATTGGGAAAAATTAGATGTTTATGAAAAAATTCACAATGTAAGGGGTTCGTTCACCTTGCATTTTCCTTTTTAGCAAAATAGGGCCAATCAGTTTCTGGTTACTGATTGTGAGGTTGAACCTTCTATATTTAGAACAATTTGTCAAAATCAGATTTGTATGAAAAATCTAAAATTGTAAGGGATTAACCTTGCTTTTTTAGCAAAATTGTGTGCATATTTTACTAAAATTGGGCAAAATCAGATGCTTCTGAAAAATTCCCGATGTAAAATTGGGCAAAATTAGATGTTTATATAAAAAAATCAAATTGTAAGGGGTTAACCTTGCATTTTTTTAAAGCAAAATCGGGAAAAATCAGATGTTTCTGGAAAATTTAAGATTGTATGGGGTTAGATGTTTATGAAACATTTCAAATTGTAAGGGGTGAACATTGCATATTTTAGCGAAATTGGGCAAAATCAGATGTTTCCCAAAAATTAACCTTGCTTTTTTAGTGAAATTTTGCAAAGTTAGATGTTACGAAAAATTTCTAATTAAAAGGGGTTAACCTCGCATTTTTTTAAAGCGAAAATGGGAAAAAAATCAAATGTTTCTGGAAAATTGCAGATTGTAAGGGGTTAACCTTGCTTTTTGAATAAGATTGGGAAAAATTAGATGTTCATGAAAAAAATTCAAAATGTAAGTGTGTAACCTTTTTTTTTTTTTTTAGCAAACTTGGACACAATCAGATGATTCTGGAAAATTGCAGATTGTTAGGGCTTAACCTTGTATTTCTAGCAAAATTGGGCAAAAAGAAATGTTTATGAAAAATTTTAAATTGTAAGAGGTGTACCTTATATATTTCGTAAAATTTGGCAAAATCAGATTTGTATGAAAAATCTAAAATGGTAAGGGGTTAACTTTGCTTTTTTAGCAAAATTTGGAGCTTATTCTCAGACCACACACAAAAACACCTTGAAACAAATGTTTGACTTTTTGGCATAGTTTTTTCGAGCCGCTATTTTTATTTCGTTTTATTCAAATTTTATTAACCCAAACAGTTTTGGCACATTGGCCAGAAAAACGGGGACACGTACGTTTGCCCCAAATCCTTGCCATGCTTGGCATCACTGGGCCCAAATCTTGGCACGCTTGCCAATCCTTCACCGCGAATATATCCACCGCTAGAAACTACGGTTGGATACTACGCCATCAGGACAAATGGGTGTTAGTCACGGTGTAATTTGTCACGTGACTTAAATTTATAATATGCCTAAATTACTTAAGAATAAACTTGAAAAATTGCCTAAATTTCTTAAGAATAAACTTGAAAAAGGCACGCCGATTTTGTTCCACCGTTGGGAATAAGCCCCACCAGTACTAGAGGGTGCTAGGCGTGTTTCTAAAGATTAAAAACGAACTTGTGAAAATTGGTCAAAATTCAAAATCTTACTTAAGAACTATTTATTTCTTTTGAATTGAGGCACTGCCTGTCGTACCCAATAACTTCCCGCCAAACGCGCAGCGCGCGCCCCACTGGGACAAGAGGCAGCGCACCCCGCCCCCCAAAAACAAAACACAATAATTACACAAATGCGGCGTTAATGCAGTCGCGAAGGTTGGCCCGGAATTGTGCGTTTCCTGTGGTTGAGAGGTGGACACCATCGTAGCGGAACAGCGCGAAATCTGACCATGTAAACTGGGGGTGATTGAGTACTGACACGCCGATGCGACGGCCGAATGAGCGTGCCCATTTATTTAGCCGCCGCCGCTTCATTTCGATTTTTGACGGATTAGTCGCACCAAAGTAACATGCCCGTGGCAAGATATCTGACCATACCAACTGAGTGTTAGGAAAGACAATCACGACATTCCTGCATAAATAATGCAACGCGCTGGCGCGTGCTGAAAAAAATCCGTACAGACCAAGTCGTTGGTGCCGATATGGATAATTAACAGTGCCGGATGCGGCCACAAAGCCGCAAGTTCGGCCGGCCCTAGTTAAGCTACATCACCGTATCTCGCTCCACCCAGACCCTTCCAATGTACTTCAGGCTTACACCCCAGACTGGTCGCCGCCCTGCGGACAATGCTGTCTCCGACAATCCATACATCGCCTGTAAATAAGTGGGAGGGGTGGGGGCGGGGCGAAGAATTTTTTTAAATTAATTAAAGAATTAACTGCCGTAAAGAACACTAGAATTAACTGACTAATTGGCTCAATTACACGCCGGGCAGCTTGCATTGTATTAGGGGGCGAATATAAAGTTGGGCGGCTTCTGAACGCCAACGACCCATTTCTTTTATTTCCTCCAGTGGAATTCCCAATGCTGCCGCAGTTGACGCCGCCCCAATGCGGAAAGAGTGTGCACGAAAAGGGGATTCTTCTAGTCCCAAGAACAAAAGAACTTTCTTCAACCCAAGGTGGCATTGAATTGATACTGAGTAAGGGCCTTACCCCCAAAATGGCAGAAAAACTACCGGGCACCTTCGGCCGAATCTGCGCGAATACGCTCAGCGCTTGGACCGGGCAAATACTTTCATCTGCTGAGCGTACTAATCGAACAACTTGCGGAGGACCCGTTGGATTATTTTTCGCATGTCTGAAGGAAATTAAAACTGAAAAAGTGCAACTTCATACGGTCGTTGCAAATATGCGTTAAAGCTTGTACCGTGCGGGCCAGCACCGGCACGGTCATTGGCCACCGTTTATCGCTCCCTGGGTTGTCCCTACGACAGCCTGCCAATAATTTTGTCACCAAGAAATCGTGGGTGGGGTCCGGCCAACTTCTAATCTTGTGATGGTAACCCACCCCTACCACATAAGTAGCGATAGTTGACGGTGCCAAACCCTGTAGGGAAAGCCACGCGATAAAATGCCTTACATCCTTCGGTGAGGCGGGGGAATTTTCAACGAAACAGTTGTGTTTAAATGAACAGAATGCTCGCCAGCCGGTCCGATATGTCTTATGGGTATTTGATGTTGAAGATGCAATTAATAATCGGTTCATCTCACCTTCTATTAATAAGCTGGGAGGAGGTTGGGAAACGTCGTCGCGTGAATGTCCGCTTGCGGGGCTAATGTACGAAACCGGTGCATCTGAAAACGGGAAAGGGAATCGGCGATTTCATTGTGCACTCCTGGTATGTGAATGGCCTTAAAAGTGATATTAAAACGCAAACACTGACAGACAAACAGCCGTACTAAGTGCATAATCATATCGCAACTTGATGATTGCGTATTGATGATATGAACTACTGCAATGTTATCCGAGCGCAAACGCACTTGCTAACTGGGGGGCCAACAATACACGGCGATTACTAATGGGCAAAATTTGCAGTATGCTATGGATGGCGACAATGCTAAAAACTCGGGAGTCCATCTGCCCTGAAAACACTGACCGTCGAAAAAAACGCCAAACTCGATGCTGGCAGCGGCGTCGGTGAACAACTCTAATGTATCATTATCGTACCAGCCCTGATCACGAAACGGCGATACCCCATTAAAATGCTCAAAAATGTCTAACCACATTAGCAGGTCCAGCTTCGCGCCCGGCGAAATGCGTGCTTTATGATGGGACTTCTTTAACCCGTGGGATAAGTCAATTAAACGCCTGGTAAACGCTCGGCCCGGGGCGATAGCACGACATACAAAATTGAGTGAACCAACCATAGACTGAATTTCCCTCAATGACAACTTTTTCCGTCCCAAACTTTACTGAATTTTCTCCCGGAGAACAAGTACCTTGTTGTGAGGCACCCGTATTTCGCGCTTTACTGTATCGATTTCCAAACCGAGATAAGTAATAACTTGACAGGGGCCCTCCGTCTTTTCTTCTGCGAGCGGTACCTGTAGCTGAGCGCAAACATCCTTAAAGGTGCTAAGAAATTCTTTACAGCGCTCCTTTGATAGGCCAATGAACAAAAAATCATCTAGGTAATGTGTTTACAGTGTCTGTTGCTAAAATGCGCTTGATATGAAATTCCAAAAAGGTGCTAAAGGTTTCAAAGAGCGCACAAGAGACCGAGCAGCCCATGGGTAAGCATTTATCATAGTAAAACTTATTCTGAAACTGAAAACCCAAAAGTTCGTAGTCAGAAGGAGAGACGGGAAGAAGCCGAAAGGCAGATTTGATGTCTGTTTTTGCTAACCAAGCATGTGGGCCTACTGACATAGCTATTTCTACGGCTGCATCGAACGATGCGTAATGGACTTTAGTCACTTTACACATATCTTTATCGATAAAGTCGTTAACTGAATCCCCCACGGGATATGACAAATGGTGGATGAGGCGAAAAGAGCCGGGCTGATGCTTAGGGACAAGCCCAATGGGTGAACATTGGAGATTCGGAAAGGGGCGGTGAACGAAAGGTCCCGCAATGCGGCCCAAATCGATTTCGTTTTGCAACTTCTTAAGAACTACATCAGGCCTATCTGTTGCTGACTGAAGGCAGGTGGAATTCCTGCTAACCCTAACACCCTGATAACCAAGGGGAAAACCCCGTGAAAAACCTTGTTCAAGAAAAGCAGCTGCCGATTTATCTGGATAATATGACAACCATTTCCGTAAAACGACCAAATTAATGGGTGTTATTGTTGGAGGCACGAAAATTTACGTGTGTGTTCCCTTTATTCCACTGCTGGTTGCCGGTGATTGTGCTCGTTTTTGGCCCCGCGTTGGCCGGACGAAATGCCTGCTGATGTACGCCCAACGTCGCAGACGGAGTCTTTGTGTAGCGCGTATACGTTGCGCTAGCGGGGGTGGTCGATTGCTTCGCGGGGGCGCCTTGAGCGGCAGGCCCCACGCCCACTCTACACGTCGACGCGCTGTGACCAAATTTTGTGCACCGGCTGCAAGTATGGACGTACCGGCAGGGATTCCATCGGCAACCTGATGGGGCATTAAACGCAAAGCAGACGTTCTTCGGCAAGGGGTTTCGAGCTGCTACCGCGGCGCTACTTGCAGCGGATAGCATGCTGCCGGCCGCAGCGACGGTAACCCACAGCTCCATATCCATCGAAGCCCAGGAGCGCGAGGGGTTCGCCTCCCTGCGCAAGCGGAATTGTTCGTCGTAATTGCGCCAGCCAAGACCGGGGAACTGTACAGCCGCAGTACGAACAATTTCTGCATACTTTAGTAACTCAAGGAAACGCCCAGGATGACGCGTAGTATAAATCGCCATAAACACATGAAAAGCGCTTGACCACTTATCAATTGAATCTACTTTACGGGGGTGCGGTGTCGCCGGGCGAAAAACCACCTTGCCTTGCTCGACTGCCATGGTTAATTCAGATCCACTCTCCGTGGAAGTCAGTACCCTAGTGGCATTGTCACGATATAACGAAGCTAAATCAACGTACTGTCCGTTCCAAATCTTCTCTTTTATGGATGGAGGGACGTGGACATCAATAGGGGCATCGTTCCCAATATAGTGCAGTGGCGCGGGTCGACCCATCATGCCCGAATAAGCAGATATGCCCCCTAATGGAAAACTAGTTCCGGCTTGGTCAAGTGGATTTAGGCCTATTGCTAGGTTATTGTTACCGATCGGAGGGACTGGAATTGCAGGTGCAAGTGAGTTACCGATTACAACATCTCTACCGATCGTACCGCCAACGTTACTGATTATACCACTACTAGCATTATCCCTACTGGAATTGACTTGATTAAAACCTAAGCCCACACTTAAATTACTATTATTGGTAACCAAAGAGTTCGGGGGATTAGTCTTGTAATAGCTCTTGAGCTTGACTAACCACCCATAGCCACACTTGCTCCGGTAGTGTTTGGACCTCCGCTGAAACCCGCCGCCGAGACTATCTGGTTGGGCGCTGGGCGTGAGGCGAGCGCACGCTGATCCTCCGCTGAATGACCGCTTACTGTTGCGGTGGTGGACGGCGGCGCGCCAACCGGGGCCGTGGCGCCGATCACCGTGGTGCTTTCATCGTTGGACGCAGAATCGACCGTCACTAAAGTGCGAGGACGTCCGGGCACGCGGCGACGACCACTGACATACGGGGGAGATGACCTCCGGGCCTGCTTCTTGTACCGTTTAGGGCGTGGCATCTCACGCAGGGAAGACGAAGAACCCAACCAGACGGAATGGGTTAAATTCCAACTTACGCTATAGCTGTATCGCACTCAATCAGTCAAGAGTCGGTCCTGAAATGTCTGTGACTCGTTCCAATCAATATTATCTCATAACAGCATAACACTGTTAAAATGGTAATAAAACTGTGATTTTCTTGTAGAAGTTTTATGTTTAGAAATATTGCTGGAAATTACATTTGTTTGGAGAAATTTATTTTCCATGTATAGCGGCTTCGAAAAGCTAAGCCGAAGTGAGCTTTCTGGGCCTTATTAAAGAATTTGACTTGAATACACTGTATCAAATGTTTCATTTACTCCCTTTTGCGCGCAATCCATATCATTTTAGCGATATGAACAATTTCTCTGACCTCAAAATGTCACGTCCGCAAAAATCTGGGGCGGCCAGGTGTTCCCCTGACACACCTACCGAGTAGGCTACCGTTTACAGCACGCACGTACCCCATGGCAACAACCAGCAGATTGAAGAAAAATGCGTGACTGATCAACAGTGTGTGTCTGTGCAGAATAATGCATTTTATCTTGTAGTTATGAAATAAAATATTTTACTAAAATTGGGCAAAATCAGATGCTTCTAAAAAAATCCACATGTAAAGTTTCCGCAGAAACAGCTGTTGAAAAGAGCCCAATGTTGAACTTTACTGAGTCTGAGGTCTATCGAGGGGACGATCCTTATTTCAACTTCCGGAGATTCGCTGACAGTCTCTATTTTTCTTTTTAAGATCGAAATAGCTGAAGAGGGAGGTGAGAATCTATATGTGCCCAGATACAAAGGGTAGAAATCTACGCGTCTGCCTTTTGAAAATACACAATTGCGGTTTTCATTGTTGCGTAATGATCCGCCTAGCACGCGACTGTTTTGCACATTAGGCTGTGTTATGCAGCTTCCTAACAAACCAAACACACTGGGCTCATTATATCGACTTGTTCTTACCCATTAAGGTAAAGCAAATGGACCCAGTAATCTTCCTGGCGCGTTTGCTCACCTATAAAGACAACTTTTCTCAGTTTAAGGAAAATTCTAAGGTAACGAAATGGCCGAGTGGTTACGATTAGTCGTCCACGGTTAGCGGGGTCCCGGGTTCAAATCCCGCTGGTGTCTTTTTGGTTTTTAACGTATGAGTTCAATCATTTACTATAAGAGATTTAATTTCCCGTCGTAAAGTACCAACAGTACCTTAGCTTAATCGGTAAGCACTGCTGCTGGTACTGTCCGCGAGTTCCAGGTTGGCGCCTTCGTACAGGTTCAGGGCATGTGGTCCACTCGGAGGATCAGGGCTTAGGGGCCGCCCTGTTCCTCCCTTAGCTCTTTGCTTTTACATGGTGCCTGGCCCTCCGGGGTTATATGGATGGATAGGGAAGGAAGTGTGTATTGGTCGGGGACGCCGAGACCCCGGAAGAGAACTAAGGGATCGGCTGGGGCATTGTTATGGCTCAGACCGATCCCTGAAAGCTTGACTAGCACATAACTTTTTGAATTTTTTACCCTCTATCTTTTATACTTTGGTTTAGTTTGATATCTACAGCTGCTCGGCAGGTCTACGGGTAGTATCAAAATTGAAACAAAGGTGTATGTCATAAATCAATGAATATTTCATAATTGACTATAATCAAAACGGAGTTTCGTTTGATCAATTTGACTATCATTATATAATGACGCGATTGCCAATTGACGTATAAAAAGAAACGCCATAAATTATACCGGGAAAGAATAGAGATGTACATTGTAATATACATATTATTGATACATCTTTCAAATAACGTGTCTTTAATTGTGAGCATTCCAAACAATACAGTAATTCGCAATAGTAATAGAATGGTATATGATAGCACGATCAATGCGTCTCTATTAAATTTAAAAAAATGTAATTTAGGCCCCTATGTGTGAAATATTCTTTGATTGACTATGAGCATTCCATACGAATGAGTTAATTCGCAAAATATAGCAACAACAAAAGAGAAAGGAAAAAGAGAAAATTCCTTTACCCTAAAAACTGGAAAAATAATTTGTTTTAAAAAAGTCAAATGGGACACTTCATGTATTGATTTAACAGTTTGCAAGGAGTTAGACTTACATTTTAGCAAAATTGGGAAAATAAGATGTTTCTGGAAAATTGCATATTGTATGGGGTTAGATGTTTATGATACATTTCAAATTGTAAGGGTGAACCTTGCATATTTTAGCAAAATTGGGCAAAATCAGATCTTTCTGGAAAATTTCAGATTGTAGGGTTAACCTTGCTTTTCGAATTGTTAGGGGTTAACCTTGCATTTTTTTAGCAAAATAGGGAAAAATCAGGTGTTCATGAAAAAAATTCAGATTGTAATGGGTTAACCTTGCATTTTTAGCAAAATGGGACTAAATCAGATTGGTATAAAAAATCAAAAAATGTAAGGGGTTAACCTTTGCCAAATTAGGGCAAAATCAGAAGTTTCTAGAAAATTGCAGATTGAAAGGCCAGGGGTTAACCTTGCATTTTTAGCAAAATTGGCCAAAATGAGATTTTTACGAAAAATTTCAAATGGTAAGGGGTTAACCTTTGCCAAATTAGGGCAAAATCAGGTGTCTGTGAAAAAATTGCAGATTGAAAGGGGTTAACCTTGCATTTTTAGCAAAATTGGGCAAAATCAGATGTTTCTGAAAAAAATCCGATGTAAGGAATTAACCTTGCATTTTTAGCAAAATTGGGAAAATTGTTAATGTTTATGAAAAATTTCATATTGTAAGGGATTAACCATTGATTTTTTTAGCAAAATAGGGCAAAATCAGGTGTTTGTGGAAAATTTCAGATTGTAAGGGGTTAACCTTGCATTTTTAGTGAAAATTGGCAAAGTTAGATGTTTATGAAAAAATTCAAATTGTAAGGGGTTAGCCTTGCATTTTCGTTTTTAGCAAAATAGGGCACAATCAGATATTTCTGGAAAATTGCAGATTGTAAGGGGTGAACCTTGTATATTTAGCAAAATTTGTCAAAATCAGATTTGTATGAAAAACCTACAATTATAAGGGATTAGCCTTTCTTTTGTTTCAAAATTTGGTGCTTATTTAACTAAAATTTGGCAAAATCAGATGTTTCTGAAAAATTCCAGATGTAACGGATTAACCTTGCTTTTTTTGTAAAATTGGGCAAAATTAGATGTTTATGAAAAATTTAAATTGTAATGCGTTAACCTTGCATTTTTAGCAAAATTGGGCAAAATCAGATGTTTCTGAAAAAAATCCGATGTAAGGAATTAACCTTGCATTTTTAGCAAAATTGGGAAAATTTTTAATGTTGATGAAAAATTTCAAATTGTAAGGGATTAACCATTGATTTTTTTAGCAAAATAGGGCAAAATCAGGTGTTTATGGAAAATTTCAGATTGTAAGGGGTTAACCTTGCATTTTTAGCAAAATTGGACCAAATCAAATTAAGATAAAAAATCAAAAATTGTAATGGATTAACCTTGCCAAATTGGGCAAAATCAGATGTTTCTGAAAAAATCCGATGTAAGGAATTAACCTTGCCAAATTAGGGCAAAATCAGAAGTTTCTAGAAAATTGCAGATTGAAAGGGGTTAACCTTGCTTTTTTAGTGAAATTGGCAAAGTTAGATGTTTATGAAAAAAAATCAAATTGTAAGGGGTTAACCTTGCATTTTCTTTTTTAGCAAAATAGGGCACAATCAGATATTTCTGGAAAATTGCAGATTGTAAGGGGTGAACCTTGTATATTTAGCAAAATTTGTCAAAATCAGATTTGTATGAAAAATCTACAATTGTAAGGGATTAACCTTTCTTTTGTTTCAAAATTTGGTGCATATTTTACTAAAATTGGGCAAAATCTGATGTTTCTGAAAAATTCCAGATGTAACGGATTAACCTTGCTTTTTTTTTGTAAAATAGGGACAAAATTAGATGTTTATGAAAAAGTTCAAATTGTAAAAAAAGCAAGGTTAATGACCTTGTTTCCATTGATACTTTTTGTATGCGCCAGCGTATTAGGTTACTCATGGAAGAGTTCAGGACTCGTTATCCATCTGTCTGCCTGGTTTGGTCCGATATCCTAACAAGGCTCTTTTATTACGGCGCACAGTCCAATGCCAGTATCAATAAAAAACGACTCACATTGAATAAATGGGCCAGGGCTATGGCTTACAGATTGAATGCGTACATTTTACATCATCCTCAGTTTGAGTCATGTCCTTCTCAGCTTTTCCACTTTGATGGAGTTCATTTGTCCCCGGAAGGTACTCGGTTATTTAGGGACAACCTGCAGTCTTGCATAAATGGTCTTTTGCGTAGTTTTTATTATTAAAAATGACTACATTTTCATTTCCCTGGAATGCTCGCTTTGGGGTGGCTGTCCTTCGTCCCTTGGGCCGCGCCCTAGTGCGCGGGTGGCGCCGACTGTGGTCGTGGGACAGGGTTCGGCAAGCCATATTCCAGGGTCGCTGAGCCTGTCCAGTGACATGTGTTGACATTGATTTATAATTGTTTAATTCCAAACCTTGACAACAATAACCCAGCCTGTGCCGGCTAGGGTTTGCTTCCACGAAGTCGGTTCCGACCGCGAAGCATTCCAGTTATTTATGCCAGCGAACTTTGTGTTTCAATTAAGGAAATTACTTTAAAGGTTTCTACAAGTGTACTATCAATTTCGGAGCAATTTAGAAGGGTCGTGGATATACCACAGGTGGTTTTCGGAGTGGGGGACCGTTATTACCCCAGGTACGGTTTAAAGTGGATCCGGAGTGGGGGCCCGGTTATGTACCCCAGGTTCGGTGGGCCTGATCAACCCAATGGTTTGTAAGAGTCAGTTTGCCCAAAGGATTTCAGCAATGAAAGACTGGTATCTGGCCGTCTATTTATGTTGGTGGTGCGTATGGTAAAACGGAAAACAAAACATGCTTTGATTTGGCATGAAGATTTAATAAACACATTCAGGCTGCGGCAAATCCAATATATTGGTTAATGAT